TCAGCCTTAAACTTCACGTAGCAGTGAAGGTGGTTTCTCTACAAATGTGTATTTGAGAAATCTCTTGTTCAGCTGTTTGAATTCTGAATTAAACACATTTTCTGAAAAATTAAAAATTTCAGTACAACAACAGATAAGCATGCTGGTCCTGAAACGTTCAGCACAGTTCATGCTTCAGCATATTCATTCCAAAGTTCTGTTGCATTTGAAAATTATACTTAATGAATATGAAATGTGTTATACAAGTTTCATTCTACAAGTCCTTCTTTATTCTGCAGAATTTCTGGTAGATTCTTATGTCAATTTTCCTACCAGAAAACCCTAAACCCTGGCATTATTCTTTCATGGGCTATTTTATGCCCACCTCGCTGCCATTTGAACATTTAGTGCTACACCCTACAATTAGAAATTACACACACGTGTTTGTTAGTCTCATGTTTAAACAAGGTATCTTTATGTAAAGCCAGAGAACAGTTCACAGCTGGAAAACAGAAGCCAATAGCCAGAAAACAACATTTAAACCCTAAAGCCTGTGGGGCCTTTAGGACCATATAGCATATACTCCAAATTAATGGCCTTATATATCTAAAACATTCTGATGCTGCAGAGTTTACGGTGATCTGCCACAGAAATAGCAAGCACATGTGAGCCAAGAATGAAAGATGAAGCAAACGTCACCTGAAATCCAGTGCTGAGCTGCATATTTGCCATCTGTTTATAGGCAGTTTCTGGGCTGGAGGCTGACTTTGGTGCTGTCAGATAAGTGGTTATGCAGAGTAAATTCTGCAGTTCTTTATAGTACTATAAACCTAATGCTGTTCAGTGGAAAAACAATGGCTTCACCACAGAACAGTGTATCATGCCAAGTATTTGTAAAACAACAGTATCAGAATGATGCTTTCTTTTCATTTCCAGGACTTTTTCCATGTTTTATTCTTGGGCAGGCATGGAAGGTAAAAGACTGTCATCCTGAAATCAGGGGGTATTTTGACAATAGCAGGATTTCAATTACAACCTTCATGGGAGCATGTCACAAGAAGCAGCTATTTCTTGGATGCATCCCAAAAGCTCCCCAGATATCTGATCTCATACACATATACCCCTATGGGCTCCCAGCAGAATGTTCATCAGAAAACACCTTGCTCTCTTCCCTGGTTGTCTCCACCCCACATTTCTGGTATTCCTGAGAAATTCCCTTCTGTCCTCTTTCAGTTTGATTGCCCTTTCTGCCTTCCACATAATGCCAGAAATTACTTTGAGAACTCTAGGCCGGCACTGATATTTATAATGTTATTTCAGCCATTGCTCTGATGTTCCTCCTCCAATGAACTGTGATGAAAATGTCCGACGCTTGAAGCCACGTGGTTTTATAAGCAGTTTAAGTGTATCCATGTGAGGTTATCTCACTGCAGTCTTAAGACTTTTGTCTCCTTAGATGTGATTTTGGAAAGAATAATGACTACTCATGCACATTATTGTTCTGTCAATGTGAGCAACCATCTTTTCCATTGTTTGATGCTTTTCAGTTAAAACTTAGGAATCTGTTGTGTCGTAATCCTGAACCATTAATAGGTATTTTCTTGGATCAGGCTGTTGTGTATCTTTCAGTAAGTCCCAGCTTTTACCAAAGCTTTGTTCATTGAGACGCCAAGGCTGCAGATCCCTTATTGCAGACTTCCTTCAGAAGCAGACATTCCAAGTGGGTTACTTGGGGAGAGGCTATTTTGAAGCGAAATTTAAATAAAACTTGGATAATGCACATTGGATTAAAAACAGTAGTGGAGGGGAGCTGGTGGCTGCAGCAGGGAGCAACAGACACCTCTTAATCTCTTAACGTATGAAGACAGGGAGAAAAAGTATTTACTGCACCTGAAATTTTTACCTGTGGCACTGGTGAAAGCATAACCATTCTGACAACTCAACCACAACTCTTTGCGGTCAATGGCTCAATGTCTGGCTGGAGACCAGTACGAGTGGTGTCCCTCAGGGTTCGGTCTTGGGACTGGTCTTGTTCAACATCTTTGTTGGTGACATGGACAGTGGGATCGAGTGCGCCCTCAGAAAGATTGCTGATGACACCAAGCTGTGTGGTTTGGTTGATACGCTGGAGGGAAGGAATGCCATCCAGAGGGACCTTGACATGCTTGTGAGGTGGGCTGATGCCAACCTCATGAAGTTGAACCATGCCAAGTGCAAAGTCCTACACCTGGATCGGAGCAATCCCAGGCACAGCTACAGGTTGGGCAGAGAAGAGATTCAGAGCAGCCCTGCAGAGAAGGACTTGGGGGTGTTGGTTGATGAGAAAATGAACATGAGCCGGCTTCAGTGTGCACTTGCAGCCCAGAAAGCCAACCGTATCCTGGGCTGCATCAAAAGGAGTGTGACCAGCAGGTCGAAGGAGGTGATCCTGCCCCTCTACTCTGCTCTTGTGAGACCTCACCTGGAGTACTGGGTGCAGTTCTGGTGTCCTCAACATAAAAAGAACATGGAACTGTTGGAACAAGTCCAGAGAAGGGCCACGAGGATGATCAGGGGACTGGAGCACCTCCTGTGTGAAGACAGGCTGAGGAAGTTGGGGCTGTTCAGCCTGGAGAAGAGAAAGCTGCGTGGAGACCTCATAGCAGCCTTCCAGTATCTGAAGGGGGCCTATAGGATGCTGGAGAGGGACTCTTTGTTAGGGACTGTAGTGATAGGACAAGGGGTAATGGGTTCAAACTTAAGCATGGGAAGTTTAGATTGGATATAAGAAGGAAATTCTTTCCTGGTAGGGTGGTGAGGCACTGGAATATGTTGCCCAGGGAGGTTGTGAATGCTCCATCCCTGGCAGTATTCAAGACCAGGTTGGATGAGCCCTTGGGTTATATGATTTAGCGTGAGGTGTCCCTGCCCATGGCAGGGGGGTTGTAACTAGATGATCTTAAGGTCCTTTCCAACCCTAATTATTCTATGATTCTATGACAAAGCTAGAGTTGAGTGATTTACAGTGTGGTATTTCCATGAAGAGACCTCAGAAGTGGAGTCCATCACAACCCAAGTATTAGCCAAACCATCAACTGGCAGTAATGCCCACCTGGGTGGAAACTTCTGTAGATAAAGTACCATGGCTGGCAAAGAATTGTGAACCAACTAAAATATTAGGTGAAACAAGAGCATCCTGGGAATAAAACTGATTGAAAGAGCCCCTGTTGTCAAACACAGACAGAGGACAAATGCCAAGCAGGCTCAGTTGTATAAGCTTTAAGCCTTTTATAGAAAGCTGAAGCACAAAAGTTTAGCCTAGTCCAACCTATTTATATGAGTGCTTGCTGAACTTAATTACGAATTAAAAATGTTTCCAAACGTGTGGAGTGTTTCTGTTTGCATAGCTAGCCTGTTCTGGCTTCTCAGCAGCGTGCAAGAAGTTGTCTGAACTCGGCAAACGTTGCTCATCCTGAGGTGTGCGTATGCATGATCTTAACTGATTCTGGGGAGACTACTTTAAAGTGATTCATTAAGTAAAGGGTTCAGCTACTACCCTTGCTGTCTCTGGGTTAGGTTTTTGTTGGTTGGCTGACTGGCTGGTCTAATTTTTGCTCTTTTTTCTTGGTGTTTGTTAGTTTTCTGACCTTCAGCACTTATGTAAAGCTTTTCAGTAGGCTCTAAAGTCAATACTCAGGAATGCTGATTATCACAGTTTGTTGTGAAGTGTTAAAGGCCACACTGAGGTGAGAGCTTGCATTCAGTGCTGCTGTGTCATACCTTAAAGGGCATGGCCATGTAGTTAGCCCATCACTGCGCTCCCAGGAACCTCCTGACTTACCCATTGATAGTGGGACACCGGGCAACAGAGTCAGAAGCCAGCCACCAGAGCTGGTTACATCGAGAGAGGGACCTCGCTCGAGCCTCTCGAGGAACTGCAAGCAAGGAAAGGAGGAGCTTGTGGAGCTCAGCACACTTGAGAAGCTAGTCTACAGCTTCACACATGCACCCAGAGACAGGATAGGCTTGTGATTATAAAGAATGAAGATGCCGTGAAGGAAGGGGCTTGAGACTGTTTAAAACTTAGATGTTCAGAGTCATGGCAGTGTAAGAAATGGTAGAGCCAAAGTCTCCTAGGCCACATGAAGATCTTGTCTGCAGTGCCCAGCATGAAAAAAGCAGAGATACAACAGAAGTGTCTGGCCTGTTTTCCAAGAAAGGTAACCATAAGCATCCTAATTATTTACAACATGCAGAAAGTATCAGGATGATAGTTACTTACATTAAGGAGGGAATATAAATATGCATGCATGCAAAGCCTTCACCAACAGCAGTGGGAGTTTTAACTTTGGATGACTACAGGATCTGGTATAATCTCTGCTCACTGGTGATATTATCCATGAAAGAGGGAAGATGACAATGTGAAAGGAGCTGGTAACTTTACAGACCTCCTTTTTGCTATCTCACTTTGATTTAACAACTCAAAATATAGCAAAGATAGATTCATATGAGCTACATGCAAGGTTCATCTCTGACATAATCCAGCTACTAGACTGATGCAGAATGATGTTTCATGAAATGCTCAAAATTTTATACGGTCAGCCCTGTAGGGCAAACTGTGTTTAGACTTTCCCTAATCATATCTGACATTAGAAGATCAGATTTTATATTTCATTTCTGTATCAAGGTGTGTCGCATTGCAATTTATACTTGAACCTGGTCTAGTGGGAGGTGTCCCTGCCCATGGCAGGGGAATTGGAACTGAATGATCTTAAGGTCCTTTCCAACCCAAACCATTCCGTGATTCTGTGAACCCACACCTTTTCCCTTCTCACCTTTTTGACCGGTGAGGGACTAAGCATGTTTGCAGCTTTGCCGCGTCCCCATGCGTTTGCTGGGAAGCTGCGGTGAAAATGAGGCAATGAGCGCACTAGTGGTTTCTAGCAAGAAAGTGAGGAAAGCCGAGCCGTTCCAGGTTTGGAGGTTTTGTTTATTAAGGGGATAAAGGTGTACGTGTCTTCCGGCAGCCCCCAGCGCTGGACAGCCCCGAGGGGGAGATGACGAGGGGCGGTGCCCACCGGGGCCGGCAGCCGGTGCCCGGGGCGGGCTGGGGGTGGAAGCCGCCCGGCCCTGCCCGGCGCTGGGGCCGTTTCCTTTTCGCGCCGGCTGCCCGGCTTTTAAAGGCGGTGCGCCCGCTCCCGGCCCTAGAGCGCCGCCGGGCTTCTGAGCTGCGGTCCGTCCGGAGGCCACTCCAACCCGACCCAACCCAGTTCGGCTGCCGCGGAGCCCCCGTGCCCACGGGGCGGCAGCGGCTGTGCCTGGGGACCTCCCCATGGGTGTCAGTCGGAGACAGCGTGGCGGGGCACTGCCCTAGGCTGCCCGGCGCCGGCCACAGCATGCCGGCAGCGCTGCGCCTGCTGCTCCTGTGGTGCCTGTGCAGTTTCTGCCGCGGGTACTTTGAGGGTCCGCTGTACCCCGAGATGTCCAATGGGACTCTGCACCACTACTTCGTCCCCGATGGGGACTACGAGGAGAACGACGACCCCGAGCGGTGCCAGTTGCTGTTCAGGGTGAGCGAGCAGCGGCGGTGTGGCACAGCGGCGGCGGCTGGCGGCGGGCTCAGCCTGCGGGAGGAGCTGACGGTGCTGGGCCGGCAGGTGGAGGACGCGGGCCGGGTGCTGGAGGGCATCGGCAAGAGCATCTCCTACGACCTGGACGGTGAGGAGAGCTACAGCACCTACCTGCGCCGAGAATCCGCTCAGATCAGCGACGCCTACTCTAGCTCAGACCGGTCGCTGAGCGAGCTGGAGGGCAAGTTCCGTCAGGGCCAGGAGCAGGGGGCTCGGGAGGAGGCTCGCCTGGGCGACAGCTTCCTGGGGCTGCTGCTGCACGCCCGCGCCCTGCTCCGGGAGACCCGACACATCTCCAGCGGGCTGCGGGACAAGCACGACCTCCTCGCCCTCACCGTCCGCAGCCACGGCGCACGCCTCAGCCGCCTCAAGAACGACTATCTCCGCGCCTGAGGCGGACGCCCAGCCGGCCTCCAGCCTCCCGCACCGGGCTCTGCCCGGCAGGAGCACCGCCGGGCCCGGAAAAAGAACTTATTTATTATGTTTGACTCCCTAAACAAATCTCGCTTTCCTATAAGCCAGGAGGGTAGAGGTATGTTTAAGTTAATATCCCGTATTTAAAAATATCGCCTTGTGTTATGTCCTTCATCTTTGGTTACAAAGCAAAGTGAGCTTTTTCGTCTCCAATTCCCCGCCGTTGGTTTATGTATCGCCTGTTCTACTGCAGCTCACCTGCTGCAAACGTGGATAAGGCGAGGTGCTTGCCTGCCGCTCCCAAACTCACGTTAATGATGTTTAACTTGTTTTTGTACTCTCCTTAGCGGTGAAACCTCTGGCTATTAATTTTCTTAATCTGTTGTAATGGTATGTACCCTACACACGTTAAACGTTGTTCTCTTACATAACTTAAAGCTGTGATTTCTATTTGTGTTCTGAAAGATGGAAACTATTCTGACAGGATTTGTACTCTTCCAGGCTTGCTTATCTGTGACTTTAAGCTATCACAACCCCAAAAGCCAGCCAAAAAGGCTGATGTCAGATCCCAAGAATGCTGATGCATGTCTTTGTAGTAAGAAGGAGCCCTAACAGTGATTGTAGTTTCAGATCCCAAATATGAGAGCCAGGTTTCTTAGAGCATGTTTCTAAAGCAGACAAAAAGGTTTTGTCTGTACTAGCACAGTGGCATATCTTGTTGGTGCCTTTGTACTTTTGCTAGCTAAGCTATTAATAACATTATTTCTGTTCCTAGACAATAGCAAAAGCGCCTAGTGGGTAGGAGGGGGAAGGCTGTTTGGGTTTTTAATTTGCTATTTAATTGTCAATTTGGGGTAATATGGCTACTAGGTTACAGATACTGCAGGGGGAATCACTGGGTGAAAAAAAGTTCATATGTTGTTTTAATAAATATTTAAAAACCATGTTAAAGGCCACATTTTTTTTCTTTTATTGTTCTGCTTGGGATGCTCTTGATTTAAACCATGCTGTTGTAATATGTCTTTTCAGCAAAAAAAAAATTATGAGTGTGTAGATCCTGCCAAATGAAATAACTTGCTTTTTAGTAAGAACAAATAAAAATGTGTAGACACAAGAGGTAAGCAAGTTTCATTAAAAGCAGTGTTACAAAAAAAGTTGTAGGGAAGATTTATTTGAGTTTGTAAGCCTTTTTCAGAAACTTAGCCACCTCATGGCACTGGAAGAAAGGCTGCATGATGCATAATTTAGGTTTGATCTTCTTAACCCTCTTTGAGTTCAGTGATACTTTGGTCTGCAAACCATCCAGTTGGTAAGTTACTCCGCAGTGTACTGGGTCAACATAAGTCATCTGGGACCAGAGTGCTGAAGCACTGTGAAGTGTCTGGTGAAGGTATGTGCTTACAGAACTGCTGGACAATCCAGGCAGCTTGCTTTCACCAGAAGCTGGGAGGTGTAGCTCCTAGCAGGATACCTTAGGCGTCAATTTGCACCTTAAGACCCCGAATGTCTGTAAAGATCTACCTGGAAAAAAGAAAATGAAACATTTTATTGACTGTCTTTGATGTAATTACTCAATGTTACGTTCAAGTCTCTTGCCAAGTTAGAAGGTATATAAGGTTCTAGCTCTTAAAAAATAACATTACTTTGTGATTCTTTCTTTCTCGCTAGGGTTAGCTGTAACAACACTACCAAACGGGGCCAGCTGAGTCACCAAGTCCTATCTGTCTGCTATCACAGCAGACCATACAGGATTTCTGGGATGGACCAAGCTCTAGAAGTACCTGCGGGTTTCACTGGCATCCAGTTTCAACTTTCTCTCTGAGTCTTGCCTGCTTAGAAGTAGGTGCCAAAGATGTCATGCCATTTGTGCCCAGATGCTTCTTAAAAGGCGTTTTAGACTCTGCTCACTTTCAGAGACATTGGTTATAACATGAATTGTAAACATCAGTAAAGAAACTAAAATGTCAGGAGGTGCAAGGGTTTTTAGCCATGACAGCAATATTCATAATCCTAATGGAAAAATGGCAGTAGTAGTGTGAAACACGACTTTAAGCAGCTTGGCTAGTCTAATTTCAGTCAAGCTCAAACTATCCCAACATACATGGCATACCGAAAGAGTACATATTTGCAGAGGGCTTACTTTCCAAAGCAGGAGATTACATGACCCATGGAGATATATAGTGTAATTCATTCTGCTCAATACCGCTGTATTTAAGTTGGTCATCTAATGAAACAAAACCATGGTTCTTTAAAATCCACACTAATGTTTCATACATAAAATGTGATTATTTTAAAAAATTGATAAATAACTCTGTTGATTTAGGTTTCAGCAAAATATAAACATTGTTTATCTTTGGAATTGAAACAAAATCATAATTCTGCTCCGTAATGGCTACAAGAGGCTTTAAATGTTCTCTTTTAAAAGAATATGCATACGTCTGAGCATGGTCTATGTGTAAGTTCACCTGGTCAGTAAAAAAGGACCATCTTGTGTGAATTTGGAAGCCAATACAAAACTCTTTTAGGACACTTAAATCTACCAGAATTGGATTTGCACCATTTTGGCTGGCCAAAGCAAATGAATGCATTAAATGGATTGATGTTGAGTCAGAGCTGATAAGCTAAATGGCCTTTATAAATTTGCAAGAACTGGCTGTTTAGTGATATCCAGCAGTTTAAAGTTTGAAATTCAAAATAGTTCTTTTAAAACTACATTGCAATCCTCTCTGCAATCTTGTAATTTTTTAGCTGATAAAACTTATTTAATTAGAAAAGATAAAGAACCTCTAGTTTTATACAGCCTATTTCAAACAGTAAAGGCTTTCTTATTGTCAAAAACTCAGTAAGGTTTTTTTAACCAGAGAGCTTTAAAAGGGTGAATGTAGCAGCTATTCTGACCCAATAGCTCCTCCTGTTGTATTTAAATATTGCATCAAAGTTAAAGCTAAGATTCAGCTGACATGGTCTTTTTTCTTTTTTTGTGGTGTTATGGAAATTTTCAAAACACACATCTGAATTTATTAAAGAGTTGATGATACTGAAGAGGAGATGACAGTGTTTTCTGGAAAAAGAAAAAGAAAAGAATAAGTAATGCAGCTGGAAGAGTCAGAGAAAGCTTACTTAATACTTAAGTTTTCTTTGCAACTCAGCCTGCAATTTAATTCATCAAGAGTCAAAGCAAGGCATTAAAGAGACACATCTCCACTCCTCTCCAGGTAGCTTACTTTTGAAGGCAGTGCTCTGCTGTGCATGTTCTCACATCTACTGATACACACATGGAGAAGAAGAGGGTTCGAGTATGAATACAGAGCAAATAAAAGCTTGGGGAAGGCAAGTGCTGGCCTTGTGAGAAGTCAATGGCTAGGAGTTCATGATGGTGGTGGTAAATTGTGGCATTCTAAATTGCAGCTTCCAAAGTGTCTCAGGTTGACCTAACCAGAACCACACCGAGAAACAGAGAAGTCAAGGGAATCTTTCAAAAACATGGTAAGCCTTCCAAAAACCCTGTGTGCCTCAAGCTGGGTGTATGAATTATCTGAATTTGTTGCTCTTGTAAGTTGTCATGTGCTTACATGCAGGTTGCCAAGAAGTATACCTCAGAAGCAAGAAATGCACTTGTGCTATTCAATAGAAACAATCTGGTGAACTACAGAGAAAGCATAAGCTTTCTCTGGTTATAATTACTATGGTTATAATCTTATCTAGAAAATATGAATTTTGGGGAGAAATTTTATGGGGTGCTTCTGTTGCTGCTGGTGCAGCAGTTTATTTAGATGGGCTTCATGTTACTTTACCAGCTTCTTGCTCATGTATCACTTTTGTAATTGGTAAAGAATTTTTCAGCTAACACTGAAGTGCTGTTGAGTCAAATGTATTTGATGGCCATTATTCCTGAAGTAAACCTGTACATTCAGTATCTGGGTTTTTTTCTGTCTTTTAAAAAGTTTTTTTACTTACAGCCCACGGGGGAATTTATTTTCTGTTACTTTAATTTTTTTGGCAAGCCGTTAGCAAAAATTGACCAACTTGTGGGTCCATATTTCATTCCTGAAGTATGTGAAACTGGCAAAAATACCCCAATAAAAAGCTTTTTTTATAAAGCTTTTATTAGAATATATACATATAAAAAGACTATAGCTGTGCTTATTTTATTTTCTTCATAAAGTTGTCATCCTGCCTACAGGATCAGTTTACAACTGGAAAAGACAGAATTTAATGACTAATTCTGTAACAAGAAAAACATATGGTCTCCATAATCATTACCTTCTTAATGATGTGGCTTGGACAGAGTCATTCATGGCTTGTAGTTGTTCGTCCTTGAAACCTGCCTTACCTTAGGGAGGTATTTCTGATGGTCTCCAACATGCCATTAACATTCTTTCATAAGAAAACACAATGCCAGGTGTATTATATTTTCTCAGATGACAACCTTCATCAGGCTATACGTATAACTGTCTGAAGTACTTAGAAACTGCCTATGTAGTAGTAAGTGTTTGTGTCTGAACTTTCTTTGCGAGGGGGGAAGAAAGCCCTTGGAGAAGGTTGGCTTAGGGAGAGATTCATTATCCAGTGCTAGGTATTGGAAAGTGCATGATGACCAAAAAAAGCAATGTACTTGCCCTGTATTTTCCATACTTTCTCCACACTGCAAACATTTCTACTGCAACAAGAGTTACCAACATAAATTAGGTTTCATGCAAATAACAGAGACTTTACTATGGACAGGCTGTCCAAACTGCAAGATGTTTTTTATTCTGTCTATTTATTACCTCTTCTCAAAAATAATGTGACCAAGATTTTCAGCTTAGTGCTAGGTCTGAGACAATTAATTCAGTAGGCCTTAGGTTCTCTGCTTTTTCACTTAAATTTATCTAAGATCTTCTTATGCCATTACCTGGGTAATGATAAAGAATTATTTCCCATACACTTTCTGTGTTGACAGCTCTTTGGTTAATCAAGAGCAATCAACTTTTCTTAATAGCGGGCTTTGTCCTTTTTTAATGGATATTAATTTCTGTCTAATTCCATGTGATCTAACTGAGATTTGCATGAAAATTCAGAGTAATATGAGTGCCTATGTCAAATGTCTTGCAAATTATTTCTAAGTTTTGATGCTTTCTTACAAAGTTTTTCTTTCTTTCTACTTATTAACTCTGGATTCTAACAGAAACACAATAAAACACAAGCTAGTTCATAAACAGGTCAGCACGAGTCAGGATGCTGTTAGGTTTCTCATTTTCACTAGTATCTTGCATATCCTCTAATTTCAGAAGAGTAACCCTAGGAAAAACAGAGTGAATGAACAAGAGGGAAAGCACGCTCAGGTATTTTTCCTAATACTAGTGCAGATGAATAAATCTGACCACGTACATCAAAATGAACTGAAGTTCACCCTGTGCCCCTTTACCTTAGAAACTTATTTGCAACATTTCTATTTCTGTGGCAATTAGGGTTTTCAGAAAGTCAGGCATCCCCCTGTGCTACCTATATATTGATTTATAACACCTATCCTAATCCTTTTCCATTGTTTCTGGTTCCAAAACTGTCTGCAGGCTGCATGGTATTTATTTACTTACATAGACTGACTGAATTTAATATTAATTTCTCTACATTTCTAAGCTATATTTCAGTCTGTCCTGCCACAAAGGCATCTTGAGCTTGCTAAATGTAGCTGCTTATGCCTCCTCAGCAGGCATGCAGAGCTGACACTCAAAGGGCCAGGAAAACATCATTGCCGTTGGTATGTCTGACTGCACTGAGAATATTCTCTAGTTCATAGCCTTTTACTGTAATGTCAGGATAACAAATCTATTGGACAAACATTAGAGTTCTTCCTAATAATGTTCTGCTTCTTATGCTCTTTGCATTTTAGCCTGTGACTTTAAATTTTACAATGCCTTTTACCTACTAATTGCTGCCAACCTTGACTTTTATTACTGTATAG